TAAGGTTTGGCCAAAAGTGAGATGTTGGTTTCACTGATCACACAAAGTGTTCACTTAAACCTTGTTTCTTAACTGCTGGAACCATCCCAGGCTGCCTGTTACCATAGTGACTATAACTATAATTTTTCTCATAATAAGCTATTATTTTAAAACTGACATGAGAGACGAAGGCCAGTATAGACATCCTCACAGAAGTCTAGCTCTTTAATGAATTTAACCAAGTTTAAAATCACTGGCAGAAACTCCTGAGTGGGACACTCACATGCGACCGCAGTCAGAGTGCTTGGCGATGTTCTTTAATGTTAAGGCAGCAGTTAGTCGTATGTGTTTGGTCACTGGTCCCTCTTTCTCGTCCTACAACAGGAAACAAACACAAATCAGTCATTGGTTGAAGGTTCAGCCGAACGACTCATTTAAGCCAATAATTACAAAAATCATTGATGAACTTGACAGTATAGATCTCCCCTCAGCCCACCAGGACCTAGGGTTACTTAACTGTGTGTGTGTGTGTGTGTGTGTGTGTGTGTGTGTGTGTGTGTGTGTGTGTGTGTGTGTGTGTGATGTGCAGTAAAGGGGGGTAAGGGGGAGTCAGGTTCTACTCACAGTGAAGTCCCTGAAGACCAGGTTTCGAGAACCCCTTCGTAGGGCCATGAGAGCTGCGCTCGGATGATTGACGATTGCTTTCGGTGCTTTTTGTGCTGGAGTGCTGCCTGCTGCCGGTGGAGATCTTAACAACACATTGAGCATAATCAGTTCAGGGACTATAAATCTGTTGGCTTGTTTATGATTCTTGTTTGAGTTTTGGCCTTAAACACATCAAATTGAAAGCGGAAGGCCTACTCACTGGGAAGAAGTCTGATTGGGCGTTTGTGTCTGCTGCTCCTCTACTTTGAGTCCAGCCAGCAAAGCTTCTCGAGAACAGTGCTTATCCTGGGAAAGCAGAGGGGAGACGGTTTGGACTAATCCGACGCACAAAGCAGAAACATCCCAGCTGCTGGATCACACAAGGCTTTTACCTGCAGGTGTGTGATGAAGGAAAGTCTTTGTCGGGGAAAAGGTTCACATCCCTCCCACAGACAGTGCCCTCCGTACACGTCCTTCCCACCGTGCTGCGTTGCTGCATGGTAAAACACTTGAGATGGCGTCTCAAACCACCTGGAAAACACCAACCAACCAGTGAGCACTGGACAAAACCTCAGCTAAGTATCAGCATTAGTCTGAAACTGTAGAGAAGGCCCGTACCGCTTACAGGACTGCCACAGACACTTAAAGTTCTGCCCGGGTTTCCTGCTCGGTTCCGACGGCGCTGAAGGGGTCTGCTGTGTTGGGAGGTGCGGGCTGTGGTTCCCCGCTGGTGCAGGCTGGGACAGGGGAGGTGGGGACGGGGTTACAGTAGGCTAAAAAGGAAAAGATGACATCATAAATATGAAGCAGACGCACCGAGAGGTGGACTGAAACTCGGCAACGAGAACAGATTGTTGGCTGAGACGTAACCCAAGCCGGTCTGCTGGCTTAAGTTGTTCTCTCAGCTGCTTTGATGTAGGAGGCGGGTATCAGTGAGAACCACATGATCTTAACTGGCCTCACCTTCTTAACCTCCAAACACTCACAGAGGACAAACCCGGCTGCTCATTTATGAAACAGAATCATTATACTGGTCAGTCAGGAAATCACAAGACTTTAACACTCACTCACCCAGAGTTCCCATTGTAATGAGACTACTAAACACCCGTTTACATCAGCGGGCGGTGGAGTTGTGCCATTTGATGCCGATTACCGTTAGAATATTTAACATCAAGCTTATTTCACAAAATAATCAGAAGACATTTTAGTACAAAATGTGTTAAAGAGCTGCAACAGGAGGAGTCTTTAAGTTCCCCTCCTTTACTGGCCGGAGCATTGTGCAGAACAGTTGTGATCATGGATAAATATTAAATTCACATTGAACTCAGATGAAACTGTCATCACAGAAACTAGTTGTGTTTTTCATTCTGAGCAGAAATCACCAGGTTATTCACCTGCTGGCTCAGAATCAGACTAAACAAAAAACAACAAGGTAACAAATAAACAAAGTGGAGTTTCCTCCACCTTCCTGGAATATAGGTGAATACACCTAGAAATCATTGACTCCAGCTTTGATCATCACACCATGTACATTTGTTCAGATGCTTCTATGCGTTTGTTGCGTACGTGCTAGTTGTCTCCTCCACCAAAACAAATTCCTTGTTAGTGCTACAACTGACTTGGTAACAAAACCGACTCGGATTCTACCTGATTGCTGTTGGCTGGTGAGCTGGTTATTAATAACTGCTGATAAACCCATGCTAGTGATCAGCAAACACATTTGTCACGTAACTCAGGGATGTAAACGGCTGTTACCAACACTAAAACACGTTTTGTGGCAGACCAGACAAAAATCCACATCCATAGATGAATAAAGTTGACCTACAAAGACGTGAAACCCACAGTGACTCACCGTTGCACCAGCTGCTTGTACGGGCGAGCAGTTCCTCTGCTGAGTGGCGTTCTCTATTGCTACTTTGGCTACTGTGCTTGGGTCCGCTCCTGCTGGCACCGCCACCATGGTGGCGCTGCTGCCGGCGTTGTTGGGGTCACTGATGGTGATGATCCGTACTCCCACTTTGCTGGGGATCCCTGAGGACGTCACTGCATTGCGGTCCTCGTTTTCAGCTGGCCTCTTGAGGCCTCGAGCCTCTGGAACCACTCCGTTTGCAGGAGGGGTGACGGGGCTCTGGGAGGTAATAGTGGAGGGGAGAGAGGAGTTGGGGAGCAGTTGCTGTCTGAGCACAGGCGTGGCATGGGCCAGCCCCAGAGGTCCATTGGTTAGTTCCAAGGAAGGTCTGTGACCTACTGCCTGAGGTCCATTGGCCAGGCGCTCAGCCTGCTGGACTTTGGCAGTGTCCTGTTGAGGAGGAGGAGGATGACTAGGGAGACACAGGTCTGAGCTGTTTTCAGAGGAGCTCACCTCCCCATTCCCCAAGTACTGTTTGGAAGCAATGTGATTTGGAATGTTTTTGTTAAAGTTACCACCACTCTCACCCCAGTCAAAGTCACACACCCCGTTGACTAAAGTCTTTTTGGGGTCGGGGTTGACCTCGAGAGGAGTGTTCAGGCCGGGGGAGAGGGCCTGCTTCCCGTTAGCAGGAGGACTCTCTGGAACCGGACCGTTGAGTGCTCCCTGGCTGTTCCCTGAGTGGTATGGAGGTAGATTAGACTCCATGCACTTCTGACCATTTAGCAGCTTGGCACCTGCCGAAAGGTCTCCATTACTGGTTTTGCCTTTGGAGGAGTCCCCCTCGGTCAAGGAGTTGTTTTCCATCACCTCAATCTTCCTCTCATGGATGTGCAGCCCCGTGGCATCCTTGGCTTCTTCCTCCTTTTGACAGATGATCTTGTCTCCTCTGAGGGGACCTGGCAGTGGTGGCGGTGGAGGTGGTGGACCTGCTGGCATGTGATGGGGGATTGTTCCAGTAGAAAACAGAGGTGGGGGAACAGTTGGAGCGATGACCCCCTGGCTGACTGCAGTGACAGCTGCAGTGGAGGAGAAGCCAGTGTTGGGGACCACTGTGAATGTGACCTGTCCAGCTGTGGTTGGACCCTGAATGATGGCTGCTGCTCCTGGACTACTTGTGGAGATGAGCTGGCCTGGCAGGAGCTGAACCGTCTGCAAGGGTGGGGCTCCTGCAGCTGGAAGCTGACCTGGGACCAGCTGGACACTGAGCTGCTGAGGCTGTGAAGAAGGATTCTGTGGGCTGTAGCCTGCCTGGTAGATGACCTGTGGAGTGGGAGTTATTGTGTTGTTGGGAGGGGGCACCTGTGGAGCAGGTAGGATTAGCTTTCCTCCTGGAGTAGAAGGCCCTCGCTTTGGAAGCAGTAGCTGTTTGATCAAGCTGGACTCGGTGGAGGTAGGCTGAGGTGGAGGAGTTTGGGATAGAATCTGGAGAGGAGGTGGCTGCTGCCGCTTCATGGACAGTGCATGGCTGACAGTTTGATTGGACTGGGTGTTTGAGTGAGAGACAGGAGGACAGGGACTGGAAGCAGGACCAGGCTGCCCTGACATCTGAACAGTCTGAGCACCAGGAAGGGTGGAGGGGTTGGCAAGAACAATCTGGTGTATGGCAGGGGCATAGGCTGCATTCTGCTGAGGACTAGGGCTGACTATGACCACACCCTGAGCCTGCTGCTGGGGCTGCTGGTTGGGACTAGCCATCGTGGCTGCTGGACCACTGGACTGGTTAGGTGCTGGTTTGGGAGCTATGTTCTGAAACATGACCCGAGACCCTTGGGAAACGGGCCCTCCTGTGTTGTTCAAAGGCTGACTACCCCCACCCAGCATGGGGGAAGAGGAGGAGGAGGAGGGGGGCACCGATGCTGCAGCAGAATTCTGGGAGTCTACCTGTGAGGCTCCACTCGGAGTCCCAGAGAGTGAGAGAGTTTGAGGCAGAGGTGTATGCTGGGTAATTGGAGGACACACTCCTTGCACCCGGTTGGTGAGGATGTGGCCTTGTGGTACTGGCTGAAATAGTGTGACGGGCGTCCCTGTTGGGAGCATGGGGGAGTGTTGGTGATGCTGCTGCTGGGCTGTGGGAGCAGGGTTCTGAGGGCTGTGGTTCTGGTTGGCTGAAGCCGATGCTGGAATCTGGACCACCGGACCAGGTCGGACCTGCTGCTGTGGTGCTGCCAGGGGATTTGGTGGTAACTGTGATGGCGCCAGCGGCGGCACCGGGTGACGGGGAACTGTCTGGTGGCCTGCATGAGGAGTTTCCTGTGCAGTCAAGGCCACAGATGGGGCGGCGACACTGCTGCTGTGGGTGGGGCCCGGGGCCCGAGCAAACTGTTGTCCAAGATTAGGATGTCCTGGCGGTAAGCCTGGTAACACACCAACAGGCAAAACTTAAGTATGATGAAATCTTAACAGCTGAGGTTAAAACATTACAGTAATGGAGACAGAAGCATTTAATCTGACGCCAAATTCCACTAGAAACCAAAAATCTTATTCTACCAAATCAATATCCTTCCCTTAATCAACAGTTGCTGGTTCCATTTATGAATTATTGATTCCATTTTATCCATACTGCATCAGCTTTAACAACCAGAGTGGGCTTTTTGTCTTGTGGAAGTTTTTTGTCACAGCCTCAAGCTGTTCCTTTAAAGGGACATTATGAAAGTTTGACAGCCAAAACATGCATAGAAATAATAAATTTCTTCTTCATACATTCTCCTGCAATGCCCAGGTCCTGTAGAATGAGCCCTGGCATTTTTACTGTGATTGCCTGTTTTTCTGTAAAATCACAGAAAAAGAGAGCTGCTCGGGTCGAGCAGGCTGCTTCATGTGCGTTCACGCTCAGGCATAGCCCTCCAAACGCTTCTTTGAACGTTGTTTCAGCTGTCATCAAGGATATAAATGTTACAGACACAAGGAACTTCACTGGCGCTTTAGCTCGCCTTGTAAGACGACGGACTTTCGTGCGGAAGACTCAAGTTCGAATCTGGATGTACATTACATTAATGGTATATTTTTTTACAGTAAGATGCCCAAATTTTTATTTGAGACTCGCCGAACGGCATTGAATTCACAGATAAAAAAGATGTGGGTTCAACTTTCATTTTGGAACAATTTTTCAAGCAAGGGAAGGGAATGATCTGAGCATGCAGGAGGACTGACCCATCTTAAACCTTTGTCGGCTGTGCTGAAGAGAAAGGTACAGAACCAAATTATTTAATTAATTAGCTGCATGTTCTCCTGTCCTCTGGGCCACACACACACACACACACACACACACACACACACACACACACACACACACACACACACACACAGAGAGAGGACTGTCTCAGCTGTTATTTTCGGTAAGGAGTGTGCACGTACAGCATGTGCGCCTCATGCACGAGCCTACTATTGAAGCTGCCATTACACTTCTGGCCTGAAGGGGCAATCGCGAGCATAAAAATTCAAAAGTCCGAAAAGTCCCTTTAAATTTGAAGCACTTTTAAAGACTGAGTTCGCTCATTTTTCGTTAACACATTTGCAGTGGTCTCTGGTATAAATGAATGCCTTGTGAGTCAGTCTCTGTGGGGGAAAAGCTCTGGCGCAACTGTTTCAGGAACTAGAAGTGAGCCAGAAGAGGTGAGTTTCAGATGGCAGGATATTTTCTGATATTCAGATATCTCACCTCTGATTGGCCAACAGCAACACAACTCTACCACTGACTCCATTTGCAACGCTGAAGTTTTATCTCCACTAACAACACAAGCCTGAAGGAGCTCTGCAATGTTGTGGAGTTGCTAATGCTAACAGTTAGCTTCTACTAGCAAAGACGTTCTCTGCTCTCTCCTGGATGCTAAATCAACAACAGCCTTCTGCGCCGTGAGTCAAGACGGGTGAGTCTATGCATGCTTGGGTTTGCTCCGGGTACTCTGGTTTCCCCCACAGATCACAACATGCTCTACAGGTTAACAATTGTACGTTGCTTTGGATAAAAGCGTCTGCCAAATAAATAAACATAAACATAATTTGACAGTGTGACTAAGTGGCTTTTTTACTTAAAGTGTTTCCACATCCATTTTTAATTTGCGGCAAACGCAGGAGATAGGGGTGGAAGACTATTTTTACATTTAGCCTAAATGTTAAACCACCAAATAGTTCCCGAGCGCGGCCGTGTCTGCAGCTCACCACTCTCCCAGAGGGTCGGTCAAACGTGGAAGACAAATTTCACCAGTATGTGAAAACTAATGGGACTTTAAGTTTAATCTTAAACTTAAAGTGACCAATCATATTTCAAATAGAACAAGTACAAAACGGTTCCTCAGTGAACTTGGCCTTTAAACTCCAAATCCAGCACTGAAAGCTGCTGAGGAATGACGGCGTTACGGCTCAGTGATCAGAGCAGAACTGGCATTATTACACAGTGACTGGGATATTTTCTTCTCAATAAAAAAATTATTCTATTTTTCTACCAAGGACAGCTTTGTTCCTGTTGCCATGGCTACAATAAACTGACCCAGTTGCACTTCCAGAGTTTATAATAACCTTTAACCTGAGGTCACGATGACACAGAACATGGTTTATGACAAACTAAGGCAAACCTGCAGACTGAGCACCATGGTCCCCTGGTGAGCGTGCACCATTGTCTGTGTTTACATTTTGATTCATTTGGATTTCTCAAGCGGGCTTTGTCAACCGTAGGTGTGTTAAAATCAAAAGCATGATGTCAACAGCATCGAGAGTTGCTAAAAAGCCCTGGATCTCCTCGTAGAGCCCAGATCCTGCGGGACTTGTTTTATAATCCTGTAGCCAGGACTGTAATCATGAATGTAATCATCTCAGAGCAGAGCAGTTTCATACAATCATAACAGTAAAAAAGGCTAAAACGGTAGGCCATACCCAGACCATCCAAAGACCTGTTGCGTTCTGACTCACATGTGGCTCAGCTTCTGTTGAGTTCTGCTAAGCTCCTTCCTCTCTTTCCTTGGTGTTTTTGCCCCTTTTCAACCATCTTAATCTCTGCATCAATAATCTGATGTGCTGCCTGTGTTTTTATTCAAAGCTCCTCATCATCTGACTTCATGTATTTACTCCTCCTGCGGTTTAATAATGGACCCTACAGAAACTATAAGACAGAGAGAAGCTTGTGGTCCTACCTGGAGGCGGAGCCTGAGGGTCCCCAGGCACCTCGTGTCGAGCTGCTGGAGGGGGAGGAGCTGCTGGGGAGTTCTGCTGCTGCTGGTAGTACAGCTGGATGGGCAGCGGGATGGCCCGTCGCCGAATACCCACCAGGAGGATCTGGAGCTGGCTGCTAACTTTTGTCTCCTCCTGCCGTCGCATCGTGTGGTTGGGAAACACAGTCCTGTCGAGCAGAGGGACCATCGGAAGATTACCAAAACGAGGAAATTTGTGTCACCTCTGATGTAAATTTGCCAGTTTCACGAAAAAAAAAAAAAACACCTAATAAGGAAAGCTTTTGACTGACCGCAAACATTTAAGGAAGCCAGTGGAGTTCAAGATGTTGCTTCGTCCCATTTTGCTGCATGTGGCAAGGTACTCAGAGTACATTTCTGACCGAGACACGGAGCCCTCGGGGTTCGTCTCAAAGTGTGCGTTTAGCCTGTTGGTGGAGGCAGATCCCGTAAACACGCAGGTTTTAATGACAGACAGGTATGAAGAGGTAATTGAGCCCTAAACCTATCGACCCGGTATTGTAACTGGTAACGAGACTGGCTGGAACTCGGCTATGTTCCAGAGTTTTACAGCAATAAAGGGTTTATTTTATCAATAAATTAATCAAACATTTGAAAATCACATTTGGTCATGTTACCATTGAGACAGAAATGTGTTTGCTGATCTGAGACATTTACAGAGAGAAAGAAATCTAAACCAGAAGGGGTAGGGGTGAGAATATCAAACCCTTTCCGTTTCTATTTCCCGCTTTGAAACCATCAATAATGAATCTTACCACTGCAGCGTGAATTTCTCTCCATCTAGTTCAACGATGCCAGGCGGTGGAAGGTTGGGCTGAGCTGGGACCCGCGTTACTGAAGAGAAGGAAAAGATTCAATTTCCTGGTGTGTTCTACCTCCTGTGTGTATCTGACAATCAGCTGGTTGGTCCTCTGTGCTTCTATGCAGTCTGTCCACTAGATGTCAGCAAACTAATAACGTGCTAATAAGCCATAAGGCAGCAGGAAGTTTTAGCATACTGAAGAGGCACCTGCTGATTTTCTCACCCACTGAGTTGCAGTTATTGATTTTCATGTTTTGTCTTCCAGACATTTTAGATTTTATTTAAATCCAAACAAAAATGACTATCAGGCAAAAGCTCGAAGTGATCACTTATTAATCCTTTATTGACGTAAGACTGATAAAAGGTCACTGAGTTGGAAGACTGTGAATGAAAAACTTTCATGCAGCAACATTTCCAACGGATAAAACGCAGAAACTTTTATATCAAAGAAGCCGAACAATGATAAAATAATCCGATGGAACCGGACTCAGGGTGTAGTCAGACCAACACTGGATCATTTCTTTAACTCAAGCAGCAGAAACAGTGAAACCTCTTCTTATTATTCAGTGTGACGTACATACGTGTGTGTATGTGTGTGCAAATCAGTTCATATAAGGGATGTCCTGATCTGATAGGATCACCATTAGATCAGGCATTTTTCTTTTGAGAGTATGGTGACACTCGGCTCCGAATCTCTACTGTTGACTCACTCTCTCTGGTTTTACGTTGGCTGTGCTGTAAAACAGCACAGGAAACGACTTTCTCCAGGAGACGGGCTCAATAGAGCTGCCTTCACATTCAGTTTTCTAATGAATGCTGAATCTGGTCCAGTTTTTCCCCCAGGTGTGAGAAATTAGGTCACATTTGTGAGCAAAATGTTCAAAATCAATGTTCCTGAGAATCTGATTTAATGTTTTTTTATTTATTTTAAGGCCTTAATTTAGGCCAAACCAATTTAATGAACTTTAACGCTTTTTGATGACCTGCAGAAACCCTGTGAGTATTTGGTGTTTCACTTTTAAAACCTTGGGGAGAAAAAAACACATTTTCAGGGACTTCAAGCACTCCAAGAACCCTTACAGTGACCTGGACACTCACCAGGCGTTGAGGCTCCCTGCACAGCTGCCGGTACCTGCTCCACCAGCTGCGGTCGGACCTCGGCGGCCTGTTCTGCATTAGCCTGATGCTCGATCAACCGCACTGCTGTTAGGGCATCAGGTCCAAAGGTGTGAAGGTCTACCGATACTAACCGCACCAGCAGGTCTGAACCAGGAGGAGAGGACAAACAGTACATGAGATGGGTTGGTCAGAAAATAACAGAAGGATCACCTGAACCTCTTTGAGCTGGATTCATACCTATGCTGTGGTCGACTGAAGAGATCTTGCTGCAGGGAATTTCTCCGAGCTGAGCCAGCAGATAGAGCACCTCCAAGGAGGCCATGAGGAGCATGAGGTCAGGCAGAGTGAGGAGCATCATCACCTCCCTGTAAGACTCCTGGTCAACGTACTCACAGATTAACACACCGTTATCCTCCGCTTTGCTGAGGTTACCCAGGATCTCCATGGCTACGGGAATAACACACAGAGGACGTTAACATAAATGGTTGAAGAGAACTCCCAGACAGAAACCCAAATGCTAGGAAACCCACCTCTCATTTTCAGGAACCGGTCCCTGGACATCAAGCATTTGGTAATGGTGTGAAAGATCAGGTGTGTCGTCCGAAAGTCAACAGGATCCAGCTGGAGCTGCAGGATAAACGCAAGCGTCATATTAACAAACGAGCTAGCGTGACTGACGTGGGTGGGTGTTATTCTACCGCGGGGTTACGGATGGCCTGCGTGTTGCACTTCGGCCATCCTTGTTCTAAATGAAGTTGGTAAACTACTTCTGACAGAACTACTGCATTGTGGGTCTTGTGGTTTCATCACCAGGTCAATAAACACAAATCCTCAGACAGAACTAAAGAATGCTGCCAGAGCGTGTTTCTGAAAACACAGAATAGATTTCCTAAACAGATAACAGAATAAATTAATATGGCTCAACACTTAATATTTAGGATTGTCTACACTGAGGACTAAAATCCTAAATTTTAAAACTGCCTACCAGAAACAAACCAACACACCTGAAACAATGACAGTGATCCATCATGACAGTGACTCACAAACTTAGTGACACCATGACTAACCAGTTAACAGATTAATAAACACGTTCAAACCGAAGCTCCTTCAGTCATTTAAATATCTGACTGTGAGAGCATGATAAGTGGGTAACAACCATCCTACCCTTTGGCTTGTCTAGTACATCACAGGTGCTTTGTTTGCATAATCTGATGGTCGGTTGAGTAACAGGTACAACTGCTCAATCATGCTCAGAACATTTATTAGTAGCAGATTCACTTTCACTTTTAACCCGTAACTTTGTAAAACAAACCATGACCCCACATGTGGTGTCCTAGTACTGATACACCCTCTAGTTTTAGTAGTGAAGGGATATCTTGAACATTCTGAAGGGTAAGCATTCATCATTCTACTCACCGATGGCTTTTTTAAAATACTTTAAAGTTATTTTTTGTTTTTGTGAAGCAACTTGTGATTTTTATCTTGAGGTGGTATATAAAAGATTTCTTTCTTTCTCTCTTTCTTTCTGAACAGCCTCTGTTGAGAGAAATAAGAATCTAATGAGTGGCTTGAGTGCAGCTAAGTGTTCCACATAGCTTCAGTCTCCTTAAACAGAAGTTTATACAACTGTTAATGATCTTTACATCACGCTCAGTTTCATATTACACGGTTATTTCAGCAGATATAATAAATAGTTGCTCAAATTCAGCAGCAGAAACAGCTCATCAGTCATCTATTTCTCCCCAAAAAGGCCACTCGGGAAGTTATCCACAATGATTCACCCGAGTGAAGAGAGGAGCGGAGCTGTCAACTGATCACCACCTGGTGGTGTATCAGATGGCAGGGGAAGATGCCGCGTAGACCTGGCAGACCCAAACGCATAGTGAGGGTCTACTGGGAACGCCTGGCAGAAGAACCTGTTAAGACGGTCTTCAACTCCCACCTCCGGCAGAGCTTTGACCGTGTCCCGAGAGCAGTGGGGGACATTGAGTCCGAGTGGGCCTTGTTCCACTCTGCGATTGTTGAGGCGGCTGTTGCTAGCTGTGGTCGCAATGTGGCCGGTGCCAGTCGTGGTGGCAACCCCCGTACCCGCTGGTGAACACCAGAGGTTCGGGGAGCAGTCAGGCTGAAGAAGGAGCCCTACAGGGCATGGCTGGTCTGTGGGTCTCCGGAGGCAGCAGACAGGTACCGGATAGCCAAGCGGGGGTGCAGCAGTGGCAGTTGCTGAGGCAAAATCTCGGGCGTGGGAGGAGTTTGGTGAGGCCATGGAGAAAGACTATCGATCGGCTCCAAAGAGGTTCTGGCAAACTGTCCGGCGCCTCAGGAGAGGAAGGCAGCAACTCGCTCACACTGTTTACAGTGGGGATGGGGAGCTGCTGACGTCAACTGAGGCTATAGTCGGACGGTGGAAGGAATACTTTGAGGAGCTCCTCAATCCCACCTACGCGCATTCCGAGGAGGAACCAGAGCCGTGAGACCTGGGGATGGACTGTCCAATCTCGGGGGCAGAAGTTGCTGAGGTAGCCAAACAACTACACAGCAGCGGAGCCCCGGGGGAGGATGAGATTCGTCCTGGGTATCTCAAAGCTATGGATGTTGTAGGGCTGTCATGGTTGACACGTCTCTGCAACATTGCGTGGTCATCGGGGGCAGTTCCTGTGGAGTGGCAGACCGGGGCGGTGGTCCCCATCTTTAAGAAGGGTGACCTGAGGGTGTGTTCCAACTATAGGGGGATCACACTCCTCAGCCTCCCTGGAAAGGTCTACTCCAAGGTACTGGAGAGGAGGGTCCGATCGATAGTTGAATCTCAGATAGAGGAGGAGCAATGTGGTTTTCGTCCTGGCCGTGGAACTGTGGACCAGCTCTATACCCTTGCAAGGGTGATGGAGGGGCCATGGGAGTTTGCCCAACCAATCCACATGAGTTTAGTGGATTTGGAGAAGGCTTATGACCGTGTCCCCAGGGGCACCCTGTGGGGGATGCTCCAGGTGTATGGGGTGGGTGGCTTTCTGTTAAGGGCCATTCAGTCCCTTTACCAGAGGAGCGTGAGTTTGGTCCGCATAGCCAGTAGTAAGTCGGACCTGTTCCCAGTGAGGGTTGGACTCGGCCAGGGCTGCCCTTTGTCACCGGTTCTGTTCATTACCTTTATGGACAGAATTTCTAGGCGCAGCCGTGGTGTGGAGTGTGTCGAGTTTGGTGGCAGGAGAATCTCGTCTCTGCTTTTTGCGGATGATGTGGTCCTCCTAGCTTCATCCAGCTCTGACCTTCAGCTCTTGCTGGGTAGGTTCGCGGACGCGTGTGAAGCGGCTGGGATGAGGATCAATACCTCCAAATCTGAGACCATGGTTCTCGACCGGAAAAGGGTGGCTTGCCAACTCTGGGTCGGGAGAGAGGTCCTACCTCAAGTGGAGGAGTTTAAGTATCTCGGGGTCTTGTTCACGAGTGAGGGTAGGAGGGATCGGGAGATCAACAGGCGGATTGGTTCAGCATCTGCAGTGATGCGGACGCTGAGCCGATCTGTCGTGGTGAAGAGGGAGCTGAGCCAGAAAGCCAGGCTCTCGATTTACCGGTCGATCTACGTCCCAATCCTCACCTGTGGTCATGAGCTTTGGGTAATGACCGAAAGAACGAGATCGCGGATACAAGCGGCCGAAATGAGTTTCCTCCGTAGGGCGGCCGGGCTCAGCCTTAGAGATAGGGTGAGGAGCTCGGACATTCGGGAGGGACTCGGAGTAGAACCGCTGCTCCTCCGGATCGAAAGAAGCCAGTTGAGGTGGTTTGGGCATCTGGTCAGGATGCCTCCTGGACACCTCCCCGGGGAGGTGTTTTGGGCATGTCCTGCCAGCAGGAGGCCCCCGGGTCGACCCAGGACACGTCGGGAGAGGTTACATTTCCAATCTGGTCCGGGAACGCCTTGGGGTCCTGCCGGAGGAACTGGTGGAGAAGGCCGGGGAGAGGACAGTCTGGAGCTCCCTAGTTGGGATGCTGTCCCCGCGACCCGGATCTGGATGATCGGAGGAAAACGACGACGACGATTTACAAAGCAATCAATTATAAGCTTCACACAGAAACACATGTCAGAAAACCTCATTAATATCCAGAAACTTTAGCAGGAATATGTGTGTAGCTGGATGCTAAAGGTTGGATAACGTAGTTTCTTTTAAAATGACATTTTTTCAGAGCTGGTTTCTTTCCTCCACATTTTCATTTCTTATTTTTCTATATTTAATCTAAAAGTGTTTATTCAAAAAATAAAAATAAACACAGAAAAAGCTTAAACAGATTACCCTGGGCCCTACCTTTATTTTGAACCAGCAGATGACCACCCTGACTGTGAGCACTGACAGCTGACACACTCGCATGTCAACTATTTAATCGAGGTTTAACAATGGCTCAAACCCGGACCCACCTCGGCGGCCACGTTGCCCAGTGTGTCGAGTCCGAGCTGTCGGAGTGAGATGAGGTTACAGTGGGCACAGAGCAAAAGGAAGCGCAGGCACGTTCGGTTGGCCGCCAGCAGCTTGACGTTGGCCTCCTCGAAGGAAAGGTTTCGCAAGATAACGGCGATCTGCAGCACCCGCTGGGCCTCCATGTCACTGATACCCGAGTTCCGAGGGGGGTGGAAAAGGCTCTGCCAGTGCTTCTCACATGACGTACCATCTGCAGAAAGAACCAGAGAGACCCGTCAGAAAGAGTTTGGTCACTGCTCTGTAACAGATACATTTATTTGCTATTCACCTTGTGCAGAGCTGCCCTTGTCCCAGATCAGCTCTCTGACCTCAGCGTCCTCCACCACCTCTTTCCAGAACTGTGAAGAAGAAGATGTTGTTAGCAAAGCAGAAGCCAAGACCCTTTAGGCTAGAGCTCAGACAGCGAGGTTAGTGATGACAACACACACAGGAGGCGTTGGGCTGTGTACGAGTGTCAGTTTGACTGTCAGACAAACGGTGAGTAATACTGAAAGCACAGCTGATAATTATTCGAAAAAAGGAAAGGATGTTTTCTGACAGCTGTCATAGGATTGGTAGTGGCTGATGTAGCCTTAAGCTGCTGCTAGCCTCAAGCACAGACAGGAGAGAACTGTGGAGGGTTTTTCACTCCTGTATTCCGGTTGAACTACGACTCGGTTCAGTTAAATCGAGGTATCAGAATAGAAGCATCAAGTGGTTTTCCCCTGAGCGGGAATCAGGCATTTGTGGTTTTGTGAGGTTTGCTCAAAAGGTTTGTTTAAAAGATTTCACTTTCTCTTGGCAATTAAACAAGTCACACCCGATCACTCGTCTGTTCCTTTTTACGGTTATGAACTTCATCGTTTAACATGCTAACAGCAGAGTAGAGTCCAGAACGAGGACGTTTGGTTCATTGAAATTTCTGAGCAGTGTGACCTCAGGTGAACTTGTTGAAGGTGGCAGGTGTCTGGGCAGGTGTTTCCACTTGGGAATAATCATTCTCATCATAGATCCTAAGTTTCTTGGGAATACTGTTATAACCTAGGGCCCTAGCAACTCCACAATGTGGAAACGGGTTTTGAAAGTCGATCAGCTCAGCTTCCAGAAAAATTATACAATGTTGTCAATAAAACAACAGATAGAAGAAACGTCATTTATGAGCTGTAGATCTGAGTGCCTTAGTGCGTCTGGGCAGGAAGTGTCCTAGCTACTCCTCTTGTTGCATAGTTGACTTTGAGTTTATAACTTTGACAAAAGCAGACGGGCAGAGACATAAAACTAACAACAAAAGGAGAAGAGATGGAAAAAAATAAGAGCAAACACAGGAACAAAAACCTCAGATCTAAAATGGGAATGGGGCAAAAAGGAAACGATTAAATATAAATACAGATTTAATTAAGTAATAAATAATTAAATGTATGAATTTCAGACTCAGATGAACTCTACTGATCCCCCTGAAAAGGTTAATCTGGGAAATTCTGATTTCCAGCAGTAACGACTTATTTAGGCTCATTTTAAATTTGTCTAGAAATCGTTTTTATTTTAGAGAACGGACTGTTTCTTTATGAAGAATTTTAATTGACAAAAACCCTTCTCATTTATTGTTTATGAGGAAACCTTTAAGGAGCACTTTGTAATAATGACATCCTCTGGTTTTTCTGTTCAGTTGTTTTATGAAATAAATCCAATTATTTCATAAAACACTAAGCAAAAAACTAATAATAAAGCAGTTAAAATATAATTCACAGGAAAAATTTGGACATAAAAATATTTAATTGGCTCCTAATTACAGGTGCTGGCCAGTAAATTAGAATATCATCAAAAGGTTGAAAATATTTCAGTAATTCCATTCAAAACGTGAAACTTGTACATTATATTCATGCAATGCACACAGACCAATGTATTTCCGATGTTTATTACGTTTAATTTTGATATTTATAGGTAACAACCAATGAAAACATCAAATCTGGTATCTCAGACAATTAGAATATTCTAAAGGCCAATGAAAAAATGTTTGTTTCTCTAATGTTGGCCAACTGAAAAGAATGAACATGAAAAGAATGTGCATGTATAGCACTCAATACTTAGTCGGGGCTCCTTTTGCCTCAATAACTGCAGTAATGCGGCGTGGCATGGACTCGATCAGTCTGTGGCACTGCTCAGGTGTTATGAGAGCCCAGGTTGCTCTGATAGTCGTCTTCAGCTCCTCTGCATTGTTGGGTCTAGCGTATTGCATCCTCCGCTTCACAATACCCCATAGATTTTCAATGGGGTTAAGGTCAGGCGAGTTTGCTGGCCAATCAAGGACAGGGATACCATGGTCCTTGAACCAGGTGCTGGTGGTTTTGGCACTGTGTGCAGGTGCCAAGTCCTGTTGAAAGGTGAAGTCTGCATCCCCATAAAGTTAGTCAGCAGCAGGAAGCATGAAGTGCTCTAAAACTTCCTGGTAGACGGCTGCATTGACCCTGGACCTCAGGAAACAGAGTGGGCCAACACCGGCAGATGACATGGCACCCCACACCATCACTGACGGTGGAAACTTTACACTGGACCTCATGCAACGTGGATTCTGTGCTTCTCCGCTCTTCCTCCAGACTCTGGGTCCTTGATTTCCAAAGGAAATGCAGAACTTGCTTTCATCAGAAAACATAACTTTGGACCACTCAGCATCAGTCCAGTCCTTTTTGTCCTTGGCCCAGGCGAGACGCTTCTTGCGCTGTTTCTTGTTCAAGAGTGGCTTGACACACGGAATGCGACACCTGAATCCCATGTCTTTCATGAGTCTCCTCGTGGTGGTTCTTGAAGCGCTGACTCCAGCTGCAGTCCACTCTTTGTGGATCTCCCCCACATTTTTGAATGGGTTTGTCGTCACAATTCTCTGCAGGGTGCGGTTATCCCTAGAGCTTGTACACTTTTTTCTACCACATTTTTTCCGTCCCTTCGCCTGTCTGTTAATGTGCTTGGACACAGAGCTCTGCGAACAGCCAGCTTCTTTAGCAATCACCTTTTGTGTCTTGCCCTCCTTGTGCAAGGTGTCAATGATTGTCTTTTGGACAGCTGTTAAGTCAGAAGTCTTCCCCATGATTGTGGTGCCTTCAAAACAAGACTGAGGGACCTTTTAAAGGCCTTTGCAGGTGTTTTGAGTAAATCAGCTGATTAGAGTGGCAGCAGGTGTCTTCTATATTCAGCCTTTTCAGAATATTCTAATTTTTTGAGATACCAAATTTGGAGTTTTCATTAGTTGTCACTTATGAATATCAAATTTAAATGTAATGAACATTGGAAATACATTGGTCTGTGTGCATTGCATGAATATAATGTACAAGTTTCACGTTTTGAATGGAATTACTGAAATATTTTCAACCTTTTGATGATATTCTAATTTACTGGCCAGCACCTGTATATCAGACTGCTTCACATCAACAAAAACCAAAATTTACTTCCACTCTGGCATTTTGTTAACACGCACATGTATGCTCCAGACCAGCGAACCGACAACATTATGAGGTCAGACTTGCTGATTATGAATAATTAATGCATTTTAATGTCAATTAAGGTGGACTTTTTAAAACAGAACTAAAAATAATTGTTCTTACGAATCCCGATAGCAGTAACGCAGTATTAAAAACAAAATATTTCATACTAACATGTAAAAACAAGCCAGGAGATTTTTACAGTGTAAAGGTATTTAATAATACTTTACCCGGACAAAATCCCGGGAGGTTTTCTCCTTCCAGTCCGTCCCAAACACCCCAGAGAAGCTGCCTAGAGCTGCACAGAAACACACAATAACCAGGGTTTAGCCACCTCCCTTTGGAATGAAACCTGGAATAAAAAGAGCAACAAGGACTTACAGTCATCGAAGACGCCGGCATGCGCCAGCAGCAACGTGACCAGTTTGGGGTCCTTCTCCAGCTGCATGGCGTGCTTGCTCTCATTGGAAAGCAAAGTGCAAACGTTAACAGCAAAGTCGACTTCGTTTGGGAGGCCCGAGAGGAGAGACAGCACCAGTTTGTTGTAGTCACACGGCTGAGCGAAATCCGTAGACAGTCCATAGCTTTGGCGGAGATAGTCTACGATGGAGGAGTAAAAACAGAATATTTAAAAAAGAAACATTCGCAGCTTTTTCAGTGAAATGTGGGCTGAACTAGCGGTTTAAATGGTTTATTTTTAAACCATTTAAACATCAAGAAGCATGTGTGACTAAAAACCTTTCACTGGCAGAAATGCAGAAAACATGCAGCGTTGATGGATAAAATATAAACTTGTGGACTCTGGTTCAGTTCACATTTATCTGACGAGACGTCTGAGAAACACAAATGTCCTCCAAATGCATCCTTCACCTGAGCATCTCAGCTTCCACAGCAGACTTTGTTCCAGTTCTGAAATGTTAGCCGTGTGGGAAAATATCCCGATTTTCAATGTTTGCAACAGGAAGAAAACACAAGCCAGTGATCCAGTGTTCAAAAATATAATCAATCATTTTGAATGTCATCCTTTCTTAGAGGCTTGTGGGCTCGTTTCACCTCTCTGCTGCAGCTTGATCCTGATCACAACAGAGACAGGAGTCCTGCGGAGTGAATTTGACGGGTTAAAGGGGTTTTCAGGTAAACTTTGTCCAGTCCAAGAAAAACGGCTGCATTCAAAAAGGCCTGACGCCCGCAGAGAGATGCAGGACCGACGTTCAGCGTCTCATCGGACTGATCGACTTCATGAGCAGAAAGACTGTAGTGCAACTACAGTAAATGTGATGCTTTTCCCAGAGGAGCAGGAGGGAACACCTGGGTTTATTTCTCTAACCAACAATGTTTTTATTAAAAAAAATAATGACTACACCTTTTATTTTTAAATAATAAAAGTTTAGTGCGGTAAGTGAACTGTAGTGGAACCAAATTCTTTGGCTGGCTTTCCTGTGCTTAATTCAGGCTTACACTTCACCACGGGATTAAAAAGGTATTGAGGATGATTTCATATAATCCTGTATATTTATAAAAAGGGAAAAAAATCCCACAAACCAGCTTTGTGACTTGACAGAGAAAGACAACATGGGTGGTGGTTAACGTAGAAAGAAATTCTACAAAGTCCCTTCTGAGATGGACAGATGTTTGTCCTACAGAGTCTGTGTCTGCTCTTCTGCTGCTGCAGCGTGTCCTAAACACACACAGACACTTTTGCTAAACACTAAAATCCTGCAGGCCCAAAAGTTTAAAGATGCAAAGCATATTATTAACTCTACTGCTCCAGAAGCACAACAGAGCCTGGTTTGGGTGTGTTTGGTGCACGTCAAACAAGGGGAAGCATGCAGCAGTGTGTGTCTGCGCTGAGTGGCTAGAGATGCTAACAGACTGAATAAGTTAAAACTCTGGCTTCTGTCTCAACACTGGTTTTATAAGCACATCTTAAGATCTCCGAGGCCCAAATTCACCAATGGACAGTGTGTCGTTTGCAGAGCTTGGCAAAGAGACATCAGTGCTTTAGTCTGTGCTGCAAGGCAACAGCATCTGCCCAGTATGCTTATATTTAAATGAGTTATTATGATGCATTTACAAAAAACAACAACAAATATTTATATGAACTTCTACTATAGCAAAAAGCATCTGATTCTAAAAGGGTGACACTTTGAAAACACTCTGTTGTTCCTTTTTTATAATCAGCATTATAAATGGTAAAAGTTAGCAAATAGAAGCCAAAGCTGTGATGATTTTACTCCATTCAGATTGTTCATAAACTGCTTCATTTCCATTCCATTCTTGCTGTAAACCAGGCCCCAGCTCATCTAGTTACTGGACAGTACCGGTAGTGAACGTGCCTGGTAAAACACTACATACCTGTAGAAACTGTAGATTATGAAGCTACCTGATGACCACTGTTGAGTTAGATCAAATTCAACCTTATTCAGGGTAATGTGACCGTTTCTATGGTACAGTCTTATTCAGAGTTCAGGATCAAACAAAACAACCACAGCTAAGCAGCTAGACGATGAAACACCAGTGGTTTGTTACTTTAATAATCAATCTGTGAAACTGAACATCATCTAGTTCTGAACTTCTGTTTGGACAAGGTCTGCAGCTTGTTCTTTGACAAAAACGTCACCAGTTTTAAGATCTCCAGGTGGTGTTTGTAGGTTGAGCTCCAAACATTGTGTGTAAATGTTTGGAGCTGAGTTTGGCAGCACAAGGAGCATTCCTGAGTTAAGATTACCGTTAATAAAAGGTCTCATGAACCAAACTCATATTAGGATTACTGGATAAAACAGTTATTAAGAAGAACGAATAGCAGAAAGTCTACTGTCCTACACACACACACGCACGCGCACGCACGCATGCACACACAAGCTTTGTAGAGAACACCAGCCTTTTCCCTTGCGCAGACAGAATGAAAGCAGCTGGAAGGTTCGTTTACATTTTTCAGTTTTCTTTGGTTTGTAGCAACATTCAGTTCCTCTTTAGAACATTTTCCTCCATAAAGAAAAACATTTCAGCCACGCTGCAGGTGGAGAACCCATTACAGATGCTGCATGTTGGAACTGGGCTTCATCAGTGTCTTTTTAGTGACTGACAACAGAGGACAAGCACATGGATGTGAGACGACATGAAAGCTTCATGTTGCATTTATGTGTGATGAAAACAGGGTAGAGCATCTTAAGACTTCTTCACTGTAAACAATATTTAACTTGATGTTCTAAACACCCGCCTTTAGCAGCTGGATTAATGCTGAATTCACTCCAGTCCAGTGCAGTGATGATTCTATGTCGTTGGCGAATTCCCCAAAAACCGGGGTGGTGGTGGGGGGGTAGGGTCACAACAAATGTTTTCAAAGGCTTCTGGAATGACCCGGAAACACATGGAAAAAATAAAACTCGTGGAGAATAACTTTCTGTGGGTATGTCGGTGAGGATCGATCAGAACCGCAAGAATTTTGCGCCTACCTAACAAATGAAGTTGGTAACAGAGGAAGTGAGCTAGCGTTAGCCTCAGCTAAAGCCAACTTCTAGATGAAAACACATCAGCAGAAGAGAGATGAGGGTTTATTTAAGCCTTTATAGATGGACGTTTAGAATCAAATGTAAAAATGTAGGAAGTCACTTATGCCATGCTTCTCTAGGCAAAGCCTCAACACAAAATAAACCGGTTAGCTCTGTGCTGCTGCTGAAAGCTACACAGCCAGAGCTCTGGCGAAAATAGAAAAGTCAAATGATTTCCAAACCAAGGCTAAGAGATTTACACCACTACGGACTGCTTTAAAAATCTGAACCAAACTGATTTGTGTTCACTGTTTGTATTTTTCCACCGGGGGGGAACACTTAGAGGAGGAAATTGTCTCAGCAGGCAGAAAGCTTAAAGAGAAAAAAAGCCTGCACCTAAAAAGCCAGAGACTAATCTAAACTGAGGTGGAGGGAAAACCAACAAGTGTGTCCTTCTCCTCTTAATCAATAACTGCTGTCAGGAAAGTCAATTATGTGAGCCGAGCCCGGTGGTTACGGGACCGCCTGAGTTCAGTGTGTGAACACAGCCGGACAACGCTGGCACCGGGTCTGTACTTGGCAAACAGCACAAAATCATTTAGCCTAAAATATGTTACTCAGAGGCTTTTTTTTTCTCTAGCAGGAAAACAGCTGCATTGTCGGTTTCAGTAAATAAGACAGCATTTTGTTCCAGTTATTTGCAGAACTCCTGGTGGCCTTGGCTCCAGCACATCAGCCAGGTGAAAAACCATTTCAAAGAGTCACTGTAACAAACGGAGACGGGCTCCTGAATCTAACCAACAGCTCATATTTCTGAGCCTCTTTCAGTCACAAATCTCTGATCTACTGAGTACACACACTTCAGTTTGTCCTACAGGCTGGATCAGAGGTCTGTGGCCTAAATGAGACACTTTAAACAGCTCTACAGCGGGTATTACCTAAAGGGAATCAACATGAGGCGTTACAGCACGATAAACATGTTGTCATCCAAGCAGATGACAAAAGAAGAAATAACAAACCAGTCCTGTGTAAGAAACCAACAGGCTTTGTTGTCAAACCACATTTGCTGAAAATGAGTAAAACCAACATCTAGAAGTTTGTTATGCATGACTCAAAAGTCCACTAAAGTGTTTCTAGCACCAGGCTCTTATCGCAGGCAGGCTCTTATTTCTGTTTTTCCTCAGTAAATAAATCTCAACTAGACAGAGAACAGCAGCAGCTGCCCCAAATAGATTCATCCACATCTACATGCAGATCCAGATGTGATGGATACGGAGACGCTGAGCGGACTCGTGAAAACAAGTCTCTGCCTACCTGATACGACGTGTTGCTGGTAGTTGTAGGAGCTGGGAATTGCACCGACTGGAAGAGAGGCTTTGGGATTCCCTGGCTGCGTTTCTTCATCATCCTCGCCGAAGTGATGGACTTTCTCGTACTTCTCCAAGTATCTGTGCAACAGAAGAGGAAATAAAACAGCTAGCTTTAGTGTTACGTGTGGCACATTCTGGTGTGAATTTTAACTGCATCTTCCTTTATAAGATGCAAGATGTTTTTCGCTCTTTTATAGCAGATGGGCAGTTTCTACAAGTTAAATAACCTTTGAACGCAGAACCACAACACACACACACACACACACACACACACACACACACACACACACACACACACACACACACACACACACAACACAATTATCAGCCATCAGAGTTAAGGGGTGATGATTATCTTAAGCAAAAACTTCATAGATCTATTGAATCTTATACTAATGAGGTTATTTGTCTCAGAAATATCAGAAACCTATCATCTTATTATAACACACTCCCCAGATCCACGACTCATAAGAGCAGCACACAAAACATCCCCAACTCTGAGCTGAGTGGAAAAATAAAACCAGTTTCAACACCAGCTGGCGATGACATGAGCGTGCACCAGTTCACACGATGAAACGCCAAAATGAGCCAAGAGGAAACTAAATTTCATATCCGTAAACATGGCTAAAGTGTGCTGGTCTGTTATCTGTTATGTCTGTTATGTGTGGAGCTCAGTTATAATAGCAACAAAATGTCACCAGCAAACTTTAAGAAAATCATATGAAAACCTCATTTAGAGAATCACAAGAGGGTGAAAAGTTAGCCGACTTAGCAATAGCTGTACATAGCAGGCAGGTAACATGTTGCAGAGATCCTTCAGCTGCTGCAGCAGCTCGTAGCTTAAACAGAAGGGTTTTCATAAATGCCTTTATGGTTCTAGTCCTTTGTGTTTCACATTAACATTAAAACGTTGAGAAATCCAGCTGCTTGGCACATCTTGCTTTATGTTTAGACGTGATTTAAAAGGACAAGAGGAGCCTCAAACCCAAAAGGACCATCGATTCAGTAAATAATCATGTATTTGATTTTTTTTAATGAACAAAAAGGTAAAGAACATTTTGTTTTTGCTGTGTTCTCAAAAGTAATAAAACCTGAGTTACATCAGAACATAACTTAACATTTTTTTAATCACAGTTGTCTATTTTTGCTCATTTTAAATATATTTTTAAACATTTTCGAAATGCTTTTTTATATTTTTACATTTTTTGTTTTTGTGAAGCGCCTCGTGATTTTTATCTTGAGAAGCGCTATAGAAATGATATTTTCTTCTTCTTTTTTCTTCTTCTAAACTAGAACAACTAGAACAACACCAAGTTCCAGCTAGAATGAAGGAGGTAAAACATCAACTGAAATCAAAGCTGCACTTGATGCGTTTCCACCTCTTTAGTTTGTTTTGCAGCTTCTTCATGTATTTCAGTTTCCTTTCACACAGAGAACACTTTCAACAAAACAGCATGCATCACTATAAACCAGGTGAGAATGTCTATTCTGCTGATTGGTCTTGTGGCCAGGGGGCGGGGCTAACAAAAGTAAATACAGGCAGATGGTTCTGTGTTCAGAGCTGGTCAACATTGTTTAACTCCCTCTATCTGAGCTGTTTAGGAACTATCTGAACTCTTTACTGATAACTTTAGTCCTCGGCCCAAATATCAGTGAGGCATTGCATCTCGTTAATCGTCAATGAACCACTTGGTAGCTACTGATATTCATTTGTCCTACTACATCCCAGAATACAACACAAACCTGGATACAGAAGGGTGTTTGGCTCAAACCTGCAGTTTGAATGTGGCGGTTGGGTCAGATGGAGGCTTGATGTTAATCAAACTATACACAAACCGCCAAACTTGTTACCAAGACCTGCCAACGGGTCTCAGTAAAGTTCTCATCCACATCGCAGTGAGATACCTGTGTTCACACCTGCACCCTGAACCACAACAAGTGGGGGGGTTGATTTAGACAGTTTATACACTGCAGGTGTGAAAGACCATTTTCTAACAGTAGTTATCAACAAAGATACAGCAATTATCTGTGCGATTGTACACGATTCATTCAACAGAAACAGCCAGAACTAAGTAAAAGGAAAACAATATGCAGGTTGTTCTTTATCCTCTTTACCAACACCTGCTTCTGCACATTCTAGAAAAGCTGCAAAAGAAATATTAGAAAAAACAAAACAGGTTATAACAAGCCAAAAGCACAAGCTAATAATACCCAAGTTCACACTACAACTCAGAGCTTTCCAAACAACATAATGCCTTTTCTCTAGGATTTGATAAACACCTTGTAGTAAAGTGGAGAAACACTTCCACGGGCGTGCAGCAGAAATACCTCAGCAGCAGCAGCAGGAGCGCTGAAGCAGCCTGTGTGGCCGTGAGTCACAGAGCCGGTGCCTGGTTCTGAATTAGTTCATCGTGGCCGAGGTAATCCCCCACTCTCTGGCTGCCGCTCTACACGCTGGACTATAAATACACTCTGCCATCATTTGTAGAGAGGGAGAGAGTGTGTGAGAGGGGAGGGGGGTGGATGGGGGTATAGACCCGACTGCAGCGTCATCAACCGCTGTCTGGGCACAGGCGAGATAAATAGACTGGGGGTGGGTGAAACGGGTGGAGAATCTGGATGGAGGAGGGAGCACCGAGTGCAGCTGCATGTGACAGTGCTTCCCTTTTCTCCCCCACATGCAAAACCCGAGGAGAACGAGTCTAAACGAGGAGCAGAAACTGCAGCTGTTTGCACGAATTTCGCTACAGTCTTTACCCTCTAAAACATGGTTTATGGACATCTGTCACACTGTAGGACACACAGCTGCCCAGATACCCTCAGCCTCAGCCTCACCCTGTGTGTGTGTGTGTGTGTGTGTGTGTGTGTGTGTGTGTGTGTGTGTGTGTGTGTGTGTGTGTGTGTGTGTGTGTGTGTGTGTGTGTGTGTGTGTGTGTGTGTGTGTGTGTGTGTGTGTGTGTGTGTGTGTGTGTGTGTGTGTGTGTGTGTGTGTGTGAGAGAGAGAGAGAGAGAGAGAGAGAGAGAGAGAGAGAGAGAGAGAGAGAGAGGGGGAGGGAGTAAGAGAGAGAGTCCACTGCCCCCTGCTGGAGGTGGATGCAGATATTCAACCAGAAGTTACTGCCAGTTTCTGCTGGGATTTACCTACCAGCTGTCCACTACCACAGAAGCAGGAGAGGAAATCCTTATCCAGCTCACAGAAACATGAAATCTCATGGGATTGGATATAAAGAGCATATAACACATTTTATATATTCATATGAAGAATATGGTTGCTCGATTATGAAGAATAATCATAACCCTTGTAGTTTTTTTTAATCAAAACTAAAATATCATGCTTATTGATCAAGATTACTTATTGAGTTGGGAAACTTTTATTGCAATAAGTGTTAAATTATGGTCATTTTTAAAATATCAGTATCAGTCCGATAAGTAAAACTGGGCCGATATTAACAACCGATATTTTTTCCATCTTGTTTCCATTTGTGTATCTGTTTCAGAGGGTAAGGGGGTAATGATGTGTAATTGTTTAGTCATGTGACAGAGATGGTTATCACCTCAGAAGCGTAAATGTGTGTGTATATAACATACTGCTAATTCTACTTTACAGAAATAAAGCAAAACACTACAAAATTCAGCTTGCATAATTTCAGTCTATCCTAAATTTGCTGATTTCAGAAGCGTAAATTGGTATAGGCACATATCGGTTATCGGCCATAACAGTTATATTAATATCAAATATCGGTATTGGCCCAAAAAAATTAATATCGGTGCATTCCAAATTTCAATAATTCAACAGGAAAATATGCAAAATGACACTAATATTGGCAATAGAAACACAGGAAATCTTGTTTTTCAGCTCAACACCTAAAAATCTGCCAGTAAATAGTACGTCAAAAATATTCCAGGTGTGTTGTACAATAAATGAACTAACATGAGTGTTTTTAGTGAGGGGAAATATAAGTCCTTCAAATATGAACTTAAAGGTAATGATAAGTTTCAGACTTATTCCAGTGGTCAGCAGCAGCTATTTTCCTTAATCACAACATTTTCTTGAAGTTATGATTGATCACGCTTAACTAAAATGAACCAAAACATTCTGATAATCCTAATCTGCGCCCGAAATTTTGGACGTGCCACTGAGCGCTTCTTGGAAAGTCGCGAGATAGTCACAACATCACGCAGGACTTGAGAACAGAAAGCAGGAATCCAAAGGGTTCAAATGAAGGCAATAGATGATGGACTTCTTAGGTTTCTTTAAGACGTTTCGCTTCTCATTCGAGGAGCTTTGTCAATTCTGACTGGAATATGGGAGGGTCAAGCTTAAAGTGGAAAGCGGGAAGTGACTCTAATGTCTATATGTGATCAGACTTGCCGTCGTGTTTTGTCAGACTCGTATTCATTAAAAATGGGTAAGTACGCCATTTATTTGAATATTTTAAGATCAATAGTACTTTAAAGTTATCACAACTGCGGCTGGGTTTGTGCCGGCGGTTGAGTTTGTGCTGTAAAGCCATCCCGCGTTGTAATGTCCGTTGTAAAGTACTCCACAATGTCGTAAACAGCCACGCAGCAACTGTCGCCCATCTTCAGCGCCTAGGCGCAGTGCTTCTGGGATGTGGCGCTGCCCGTGTGCCCACTCATGGGTCATGGAGGCAATCTACGATTGTTTTTAAATGATCTCCGATTGGACAGCACTATGACCAATCAAAGCAACAAATGTGACGTATTCCATGCTACTGAAATCAGTAAATGAGGCAGTCCGTCATACACTACTGGAGAAGAAGCAAATACATTCAGAACCTATATCTACTCATGTCTCAAAGAAAAGCCCAAGTCTATAAATTGTCCAAAATTGATACCAAAGCTGTTTCAAATGAGCAACACTGAGCCGTCTCCATCACAGTTCTAGGGCCAAGCCTTCCCAATGTCTCTCTACAAACATAGAGCACTGTGATTGGCTAGACACAAAACTGCTGAGGCTACAATAGAGCGTGGCTAAACCAACCTGCAGATCTAAAGCTTTTATTATTGCAACAGTTTGTCTAGATTTCTAGACTACTAAATCCTAAACATGGTTC